CGCGGCTTGGGGGCGCGGCTTGTGGGGGGGGGGGGGGTATTTTGGCCGGTTTTGCTAAAAACCCTCATTTTCGCCCACCGGAGGGTTCCTGAGCTTCTGTAAAGCGACGCGCTGCTCGTCCCCGCTCTGCTGCCCACCGGAGGGTTCCTGAGCTTACATAAGCTTCGTGCTCTTTGCAGAGAAACAGGGATGTAGAAAGGGAAAGGCCCGTGGGGTGGGTCTAGTTCTGTCACGGCTGGTTTGTGCAAACTGGTCCGCAGACCGTCCCCTCCGCGCCCCGGCACCAAATATTTAACGCCCTTAAGATCTTCAGTGCAAGTAAATTGATGCGACTGCTCGTGCCCCGGGGCTGGGGCTCGGTACTGGTCCCAGTGCAAGTGCAGGCTGGGGATTAGGGTGGGGGAGTGAATCTGCAGAACTCTGAGCCCTGAAAATGGGTGTGATAACGCCGCGGGGGGCCAGGAGCGTGGTGCCCCGCCTTGGCGCCCCCCCGGGGCGAGGCGTGGGGCAAATCGGGCTCTTTCAGGGAGCAGCTCTGCTGCCCGGGGAAGGGTCGGGTGGGGATTTGCCGCCGCGGTGCCCGTTGCCGTCTGCGACCGCTCTGCGCCGACACGATGCTGCCGAGTTATGCAACCGGCCCGTTCCCTCGGGGGGAAAATTCATCCTGCGCATATCTGCAGAATAGGACACGCAGGGATAACAAACACCGAGGGGACAGTCCTACCCCGGGGCTGTTTGCTTAAAACCCAGCTGCCTTCTGCCACATCCCACCCCCCCGCCACCCCACCCCAGCTCCATCCAGGGCCAGAACCAGCCGTGACTCCGCACCGATGGGCTCCGGCGAGATGGATGCGTTTATGTCACGCGGCCCGGCGCGTGGAACGTGGCCGCTTGGGCCAGATGGGAGCCGGGCATCAGCCAGATGTTCACCGCCAAGCCGGGGCGTTGTGCTGTGGGGAGCTTTCCTCCGGCTCGGGTATGGGGCGGCAGGATACGTGGTGTGCTTTCCCGTGGGGTTTTCCTAACGCCTGGTGTGGTTGTGCGCTCAAAGCAGCCTACCTCTGGTGGTGATTAAATGCAAATCTTAAATTGGAAACCCGCTTGAGAAGCTTAAAATGGGATTTAGAGCAGGGCCTGAATTCTGCTCTCAGGTAATTTGAAGTTGACCGAGAAATTCGAGTAATCTCTTACAACTTGCTTGTGGCGCTGGTGCGTAGCCTGTCGTGCTGCTGGGTCATGCAGCGAGTTGTTCTTCCCCAGGACGGCTTCAGACCCTGCTCAGCCTCGGTTCCTGTCGTAACCTGGAAAACTGTATCCCTCCCTGACCCTGATTTTTGCTTGTTCTCTGGGATGCCACTGACCTCTTCCGA